TTTCGCTTGCGATTTACATCCAAAACGATATTCAACTTGAGATTGTTTCGATGCTGCTTTAGCTTCGAGTTGATATTGACGTGCTTGATTTCTTAATGATTGAGCTTGAGTAAGAATACTAGGTTGCAATGACGAAGATCCAGAATTGAAAGTACAAGTTGAATTATCACTATCGGTAAGAATAGAGGATAGATTACCCATAATTCAGTTCAGTCTATAATCGAAACGCATAAACTAAAAAGTAATATGTTGCATGTGTCGCAAACTGCTTCTTTGGCAAGCATGTTAGCGACTTAACAACGATTAGATTATGGGCGTGCCTGTTGCTTGAAAGTTAAGAGAGTTCAGAAACATATTTCAGCTGAAGTGTAAAACTTACTTCCACTATTGCAGGTTTAGTGCGCAATATACAGAACTGACGGGATGCAAGAAAAAAGTCATTAAATCTTCGCGAGGAAAAGACAAAATTTCATCCAAGATTGAAGCATATATACCTCTACCTAAGACACAATTCACATTCACTCTAAAAAAAATCGGTTTTTTACTGAACCCCCAAAAAAGGTTCCGGAGATGTTTAAAAGCGTCCAAAGATGTCCAAAGTCTCAAAAAAAGGATAAAAAAATCTACGAAACCTTTAAAGGTTCTTACCGTGTACCCAGGATAAGAACCTTTTGCTGCGAAACCTTTTTTTAAGTTCCGTACAGCAGAAAAAGGTTTCGTAGGAAAATACGAAACCTTTAGAGTTTCATATTAAACCCTAATAGTTTCGTACTAAATCCTCATGATTTCGTAGAATTTAATACGAAACTCTAAAGGTTTCGTATTTTCCTACGAAACCTTTTTCTGCTGTACGGAACTTAAAAAAAGGTTTCGCAGCAAAAGGTTCTTATCCTGGGTACACGGTAAGAACCTTTAAAGGTTTCGTAGATTTTTTTATCCTTTTTTTGAGACTTTGGACATCTTTGGACGCTTTTAGATATCTCCGGAACCTTTTTTGGGGGTTCGGTAAAAAACCGATTTTTTTTAGAGTGCCCCCTTAGTCCCCTTAGTCCCCTTAGTCCCCTTAGTCCCTTATTTTAATTTGAAATCAAGTGCTCTTTTTTCTGTTTAAATTCAGATTGAAATCAAATAACCCATAGTATGTAAGAGAAACATGTTTAGTACAATATTGTTAAACATCCGACTATACTTTGATAGATAAACAAAACGAAAAATGAACTCTAATCTCAAAAA